GTCCAATACATTGATAATCACCCTGCAGTTAGTGCTCATCGGAGGTTGTCCTTTGTCCGTGGCGTGGACGTCCAACTTGTATACCTCCATATTCTCAAAGTCAATTCCGCCTTTCACTCGAATTTCACCAGTGTCCTTATCTAGGCTAAATGTATCATACAATTTAGTGTTAAGTTCGCCACCAAAAAAGTATTCAATCTTTCCGTTTACACCCTCGTCCAGATCAGTTGCATTTACCGTAGTTACACTAGTATCCCTATCAACATTTTCAGGTATTGTAACTGAATATAATTCTTGGTTAAATGTAGGGTGGTTATCATTTGAGTCGAGGACTATGACTGTGACATTAAGAGTCCCCGTTCTCTGTGGATTTCCGCCATCAACTGCTGTCAGTATCAGTTTGTGTGCATTCTCCTTTTCCCGATCCAGAGACTTCTGTAAAACTAAAAATGGTACCTTGTCCTCTCCCATCTCTCTAATTTGTAAACTAAAATGATCGTTATGGTTTAATTTGTACATGCGTACAGTATTAGTAACAACATCTGGGTCCCGTGCGGCTGGCAACTGGAAACGTTTTCCTTGAAGAGTGGATTCAGGAATTTCTACTATTTTTTCTTCATCAGTGAAGCTGGGCGAATTATCATTTACATCTATGATTTCCACTCCTACATAATGTATTTCCATGGGGTTCTCAGCTACCAGTTTTAGGTTTTTGATACATGGATGTATTCTTTCGCACAGCTCCTCTCGGTCGATATTTCCGTGAACATACAGAACGCCATTGTTCGAATTTACTTCAAACTGAGCATCTTCAGCTCCAGAAACAATACGAAACCGTCGTTCCTCCAGTGAACTGATATCCAGTCCCAGATCCTTTGCCACATTCCCAACAACACTTCCTACCTTTACTTCCTCTTGAATCGAATATTTTATCTGAGCTGTAACCCGCTCCACACAGCTGAGCATCAGAGAAAAGCTGATAGCAAACCACCAGCACTGCGTTCCTCGTCTTTGTCCTCCTGCCTCCATCGTGTTATATAACAAATACTGTATCTACCCACAGGTATTTATCGTTAAGAAGCTAGAATAAATCACAAAATATCCCGTCTGTAATGCTTCCCATTTTCCCTCGTATTCATGGAAAAATCACGGCTACCCTTGTTTCTCTGGACGATACCGTCTCCTCTCTGGCAACCAGAACAAAACCTCT